ATAACTAGCAAGAGTTGGCGCTCTTGCTTCCAAAATTCTGGAAAAAAGGTGCTCATAAGAAGTTGAGCCTTTTTGTTAATGAAGTAACTCGTAACACAAAAAAATAAAATAGAAGGAGAACAACAAATAGGTTTTTTTAACGACACTCCCTGGAAATTTAGAGACTTTTCTTGAAATAATGTACATCATAGCTTGGTTCGAAAGGAGCCTTTACATGAGACATGGGAAAAGGGACCTATTATAGGCACGGCACTTGTCATTTAAAGGTAGTTCTTATATGCTACCTGCTGACAAGCTCAGAGTTTATCACTCACCAAAAAAACTTAGTACTGTGCAGGCTTGGGTAGACATTTTTTTGGTATTTCCTCTTGGTTTTTTTACCTCCCTTTCACTTTTGCTGTTCTTTCCAAAATTTTTGAAAAAATGTAAATATTTGGACTCATCCCCTCCAAAAGATCAGCAATGTTTACACCTTCCTAATTTGAATATACTCAGTAGAATGCAACTACATGTTTGTTTGTTTATCAATATAGTGCTATAGTATGGGGAAGAGATCAATACCCCTATTTAGGAGATACCCAAGTTTTGTCAGTGCCCAGAACAAGTCCTCTATGATAAAGTGATGTCTTACAATCAAGATATATTAATTAGTTGCAATTATTATATAATTTTTATTCTTATGCCTGGCATGGGCTATAATAGTGTATCATGGCTATTTTTCTTTTTTTCACTTTTTTCATCTTGGTTCATTTATGTTAAACTATTTTAAAATTTGTTGAAAAGTTTTTTTTCTCACTGTGAGGTGTTTTTTTTTCTAAAATATTAATGTTTCTCATAAACATGGCTTTATTTTTTTCACTTTTATGTATGAATAAGGGTTTTAATTTTGTTGTCGGGCTTAGGTAAAAGAAGTTTGAAAGAAGGAAGAGGTGGTCATGACAGGCGGTAGGTACTATCTGTTGAAAGCTGGGTCATATCCAATTACAGGAGAGGTCTGGAAGAAGAAGAATCCTACTATAGCAGGTCAAACATAGATACTCATTGAGCAACCAGGTTAGTCTTTACTTGTAATTTAGGTATAGTTGTGTGGCCCTCAGATATAGCACATATCAGGAAATTTTTAAATAGGGTAGATATCGATTACACGATTGCTATCGATTAGGAAAATCGACAATAATCGATATTGGTAGCTAATCGATGCATGAGCAATTAAAAAATAATTAATTTTAATTTAGTTTTAATATTAATCAATTTCAATCAAAGCAATTCTAATCGATTTTAATTAGCAGCTTTATTTTTAATTAGTATCGCTGGTAATCAGCAGGGGTGCTGCTTATCGATTGACATTTTTTTCTGTCAATCAATTGCCAACCAATTTAAAAATTTCCTAATGCATGTTGTTTAGAGATAGTTCTCATATGCTATCTGCCAACATGTTCAGAGTTTATTATTTACTGATAAGTCTCTCTAAAATTTTAATAGTCTAGATCATTATTACAAAGCCTAATAAAGTAAAGATATAACTGCCAAATTGATTAAAAAAAAATTAAAATAAAATAAATTATAGTTAGAGTTAGGGTTAAGATTAGTAAATAGGTAATATTATAGATAAAATTGCTCTTCTGATATTTTTTATTAGTGCTTCAAAGCAGGTTTAGATACTCATTTTTTGTATTTGCTTTTTTTTTTGCTTTATAAAAATTGGTGATTTGATTGGTCGATCAATGTAAATCTCCCAAATAAGGAAATTGTAAAATGGGTTCTAATTTAGCATAAAAAATAAGCATCATACTGTGAGCCCCGGAATCTGACCTAACCCTACCTAGGTGCTGCACAAAAAATGCGTAGCAGATCCTCGATTTTGATTGGCTAAAATAAATTAAGCCGGAATTACTTGTAATTTTACTAATGAAATCACAGCCACCTATTAAGTGAAAATTGTTCCTGGGTCAATTATATCATTATGCGTGCTTATTTTTTAAAAATTTCTATTTTTGTAATGAAAAAATTAAAAAGTTAATTCCGGCTGAAATTTAGTAAACAATTTTGTAATGCGGACCAAAATTTTGAAGATCTTCAGCTGTTAGCCAATCAAAATCGAGGATTTGCCGCGCATTTTTTGTGTGACACCTAGAGTAAATATCTGACCTAACTACTATAGCCAAAATTTGTCGCATTTATCGAATTTATCGCATTTGTTAGATTTGTTGGATTTATCGAATTTATTGAATTTGTCGCATTTGTTAGATTTGTTGGATTTATCAAATTTATTGAATTTGTCGCTGAATTATTGTAATACCGAAATATTTCATTATAAATAAAGGCCGTGAAGGCCCTGAATTACCCAATTGACCCATTCAACCCTCTAAGTATCCAAATAAGTACCCTAATTAAACAATCTGCTATAGTAAATACTTTTACCTTGATCACTCACTAAGAGGCATAGTGAAAGATTGTTGCTCGATAATTGCCTTGTCCACGTGACTTCGTAAACGTTGCCTTCTGGTTGATTCTTGATGGACTGAGGACTGCCGTGGTTTTGCAGCTCTCCCAACATACCGAGGGACAGTTGTGGTTGTTTTCCAGGTTCCCAACGGACTGTGGATCTGTGGTTATTGTGTTCCGGTTTGAGGTCTTAGTGGAAGAACTCAAGCCGAGGTTTCGTTAGAAATATTAAAGATTGTTAACATACGTGTTAGTGAGTCATATCTAAGATCCAACATAAGTTTCAGGAAGAATACCTACGTCTAAAATCACCCACTCGCCAAATCTAAACGCCTCTTCGACTAAGCCAAACGTAGGTTACACAAGGCCTCGATTTGATTAACGACCGACTCGGTTGTCAATACACAGGATTGGCAATTTTACCGGCCAAACATATTTTTGGCCGGCCAAAAAACGGCCAATTCGGCCAAATTCATATGTTTTTTTGGCCGATAAAATTGCCAATACATGATGTTTAACTATCCAATTGCAGATTCCTTTTTGAAGCCAACTCTTTAATAGAATTGCTCTTGCCACATCAATGGTTATTTCACTTGAAATTGGAACTTCAACACTTATTTTATTGCTGTCATCGCTCATGGTTGAAAAAGATTATTATTTATTTTGTGCGTTTTATTTTCTTTATCGTTATATTAATTTATCATTATTAGCAATAATTAGGGACCGAGAATCATTCTTTTACGACCCGAAATACAAAATATTCCCAAATAATTATAATAAATACATTACACAAACAGATGAAACAGATGTTAATAAAAAAAAAAAAGGTATGTATGAACAAATTTATTGACTGATTAATTGTCGCGAATTATAATCAACAAAATTAAAGTAAAAATTTAAAAGTTTTAATAGGTTATAACGATTATTATGACTTAACAACTAAGGAGTCTTTAGCTTGTTCGTCTATTTTAAAAATGTCTAGCTTATCTAAAGTAACTAACTACAGTTAAATCTGAAATATCCAACTATCTGAAGTAACAGCAACTAACTATATGACATCCAACTTATCATACATAATCGGACATTACCCTATCAGACAAAAATAATCATTCGAAAACAGCTGTAAATTACAGCTGTTTTCATAAACTCTCGTTTCCCTAAATCCCCTCGGTTTCAACTTATGAAACCGAAAAGATTTCGGGAACCGGTGGATAGCATAGTGATGGCGCAAAAATTTGGCGGTCCCGTGATCATCGGGTCAATCGGGTCAAAACTTAAGCTCGAATAATACCTAAGACGGGTTGATATGATATTACCCATCTTAGCGTTCGTTAGGTATTTTTCCGAGCTTAAGTTTGGTCCGATTGGCCCGATTATCACGGGACCGTCAAATTTTTGCGCCATCACTATGCTATCCGGAAACGGTCAAGTGCCACAGAATTTATAAAAACAGCTGTAATTTAGGCCGATGATCTTCAAAATTCTTAATTTTGGCCTGAGCCACCATTTTTCACTTAGTACCTGCTTAATTCTTTTTTGCCGCACATTTTTTTGTGTAGCACCTAAAGGATAAAGCTCATTAATCGTAAGCAGTGCCCTAAACTGCATACCCATTTATTTTCTATATATATATGTAGTGATCCTCTGCCGTATAATCTACCTGGGTATTTTATAAGTTTTCAGATTAGGCATTTTATTTTAGACTTCGGGTCTTTTAATCAGTGCAGTACGATAACCAAAAGATAAGCAAAAAAATATCGGCAAGATGATAAATCGACACAATCTAAGCCGACATTAAGCAAAGATCAGACAGACCCAGCCCAGCAAAATATGTCCGATCCACACTTAATTGGATAGATCCAAGCTCAACCCATAAACAACATAAATATTATGGCACAGCTATAATTTCAGAAGTTTTGAGACCAGATCCCATGCTGACCCCCCTAATGATAACTATACAATAAATATTAATTGCTAATATTATTATCAATTTATACTGTATTTTGATAAACAGTATGCAAATAGTTTATATGCACAGAATTATAGCCCAGAGCCTGCCATATGAGTGACGCCAAGGGAAAATGGGACATTGGTTTATCATTGATTCTAAATAATAAATGATAAACCAATGTCATATAATGATTATTACAAGAGCCTGATATAAAATTTCACACGATATGAGTGCTGCCAAGGGAAAAGGGCTTAATGAATTTTTAATATAAACTTTGATCATCTATTGAATTTTGATACAATAGATATCGAGATATCCTTGATCAAAGTTTATATTAAAAACTCGTCAAGCCCTTTCCTTTTGCAGTACTCATATACGATATATATATCGATATAAATTCTTAAAGAGCTAGCGTTAGTAATAATATATCTTTTTTTAAAAAGAAAATCATTTTATGCGTACTGTACATTTGAAATAAATTATTAAAACGGAAATATAAATGTAGTTTATATATTATATATATATTGTATATATTTTAAGATAAAATATTAAAAAAAATAGAACCTACTGGTATAATAGCATAAAGTTTACAGTAATTATAGAATTACCTAGTTTCTTCCACCGTTAAAGTCAATGAGCTATTCTTATTCTTATTTAATATTTTTTGAGATAAAAACTCTAAAATTTTTGGAGAAGGAGGTATACCAAAAACAACGACCAGACAAATTCTTAACATAAGTTCTATAGAATTGCTAATAGGAATAAAAAGTACCGAAGAACCTATAGAGAATATTATGATATAATATATAATATAACAATTTATTATGAAAAACATTATAATCATATACCATAATCCAACAGAAGTATTTGTTGAATTTGCACGGCATAATTGAAAGTCTTTAATATTTGAAGTGTTTAAAGAATTGATGTTATCCTTATTATCAGCTGTATTATTATTATCGGCTGTATTATTATTACTGCGCTCGACCTTTTGACATTCATTCTTATTAACAGTATTCTTGTTATCAAAATTATTAGCTTGGCGATTACCAAATTGTGTTGCCAGAACAGGATTAAAAGCGTACAGAAAGGAAAAAATCAAACCAATCATCCAAAAAACGGCAGCTAAAATACAAGCCGCCATATAAGGTTGTCCACTCTTTTGCCAAAGTGTACGAATAGATGAGATCCAATATATGCAATTCAAGATTATGATTGAAACTATCGCTACATTACAAAATGGATCGTTCCAACTTGACCTATAATAAAATCTACGACCAGTTTGTAAAAGATATGATAGCATTACTGTGACATAAAGAGAGGATGCCATTAAATAAATGCACCAGAAATATGTCAACTTAAACTGTGGTAGTATTTGTAGTAAATTCATTATGCTGATAGACATATTTATTAAACTAGATATTAGGCTAAGAAAGAATAAATCGAAATTAGATATATATACTTTAAAAAAAAATTGATTTTAATATTATCGCATGACAAAAAATTATCATCACTACCATGCTCCTCTTAGGTTAGTAAACTTTTTGAGACAAATAAACGCGAGCGCGCAGCTTACGAAAAGACTTATTAATAAACTTATCGCCGTAAGTGCATATTCGATAACCATTTTTTTAACATAAAAAAAATTGTTTGGTGAAAATATGAGTTGAAATAAACTGTAAAAAATAAAAATAGGTATATCGAGTTATATATCACAACTAGTCTCAGGGCACGTCCTCACATCCGTTATGGTTATGCATATAATTGCTGTAACACAGATTATGTGTTATGTTACTGTTTAAAATATGTCACACAAACATCGACTAATCATATTCGTGGTAGAGTTTTTTTAAAAACATATTTTTTACTAAAAAAGGCTGTTTCATCCAGTAGTCGTAATACATTGATGACGTTTAAACGATAATGTAACTTCATTAATGCTTTAAACTATTTATGACGTCAAATTTGAACGAATAGAGATAGAAGCATTATTCGACAAAACAAGTAAATAGTAAATCTACTTTCCCATTCACTTTTTATAAAATATGTATGATTTGATTACAGTATTAAAACTTTAAATATACATGTGTTACAAAGTGCACAAAGCCTAACTGAATCATTTCTGTTTAAGGCAAATTTTATACAACCAAGGTTTTTTTTTTTTTTATACAAATTTTATTGGTCGTATATTGTATGAGTGCAGCCAAGGCAAAACCAGTAAATATTTATGCTATCAAATGGCGTGATATTACACACTAAATCGCCCGCCAAGGGAAAATCTATCATTGAGCTTTAAGAACATTGATCGCATACAGCTAAGTTCTCCATATTGGTAACTTAAATATTTACACTGGTTTTGCCTTGGCAGCACTCATATTCAAAAAGTTTACAATCTCCTGATAAAAACATATACACTGTGTTAATTGAATTGAATTGGAAGAATTTAAATTTAAAATTATCACTGACAGATATTCGTATAATAATAAACGCGACCTCTAGGAAATTTTTTTTGATTTATTTTTTTTATATGTTCGTAAACGAGCATTTTCGAATAACTAATATATACTTTAATATGATAATTATTTGTCCAAAGCAAAGCTAAGGACACTATATTTTTGTGCAATGTTAATAATAATGCTTTAAATATTTGTAGTTAGAAAAATTAATATATAATTTATATATTACCTTTAAATCAAATAATAACAACTATATAAACTTCTTGTTTTCTTAATAGTCTTTCCTTGAATTTTATAAATATAACATCAATTAGTAATATTTCTAAATCGATTTCTTTGAAAAATCTTTATACATATTTTTTTAAATTCAACTGTCTTTTTGATTCTATTATTTATTTTTTCTGTTAATGATTCGCTACTTTCAAACTTAGCTCTTCAAGATTTTAGATCTTCAATTAAATCATTGATTTTTATTTTTGCATACTTAGAATTTGTTAATAAGATTTTGAGTTTTTTGGCTCTTGTCTTGGCAAAATTTTTATAATATAAATTTGTTACAATAATCTATTTTTTTTTTTTTTAATATTAAAGGTGAGACTTTGCTCTTATCTTTATTAAACTTAATAAAAACTTTTTACATAATTGAAAAAGGTTTTATATTTTTAAGTCTAGTGTTAAGAATAAGAACTTAAACATATAACTAAACTAGAAAACCGAATCTGTTAAAAGTCCGAAGCATAACTATAAAAATTTATTCTTATTTATAAACATATAATTAAAAAAATAAATGAATAAAAAAAAAAATTTAAACCCAGTTTTACTAGATCACACTACTGGTGTTTAACACCAGTGTTTTTGTATAATATAAAATTAAAAATAAACAAACTAAAATTAATTAAATATTACCGTAATTATCGGACCCAGGTACCCGGTGTGATACGATTTTTCACATAGTAAAAAATTAAATATCACGTGCATTACATCACATGCACTCATATAAATAATATTTTAAAAATTGATCTACATTATTTTTACATTATTTGTCACACAGGGTACCTGGGTCCGATAATTACGGTATATTAGTATTAGTAGTTAGAGGTTAGGGCAAGAGGTTAGGGTAGGCACAGTATATAGTAAAATTTTGCAAAGAATTTTTTTTATTAGAAGCCAAAAGATAACTTTCTATGTAAAATTTTGAGTTGGCATTTTTTTTAAAAAAAAATTAAAAAATCAAAATTTTATATTACACCTGATCTTAATATTACACAACAGCTACATAATTTAATTGATAAAAATCATTATGGTGTTAAACACCAGTAGTATGATTTAGTTAAACTGTTTAAAAAAGTTTATTTAAAAAACAAAACCAATAATAATAATAATAACAAATAATAACAAATAATAACAAATAAAAAAAATTAATAATTTATAAAAAAAACAAAAAAAACAAGTAAAAAAATGATAATTTAGTAAAAAAAAGTTAATATAATAGTACAGTAATCTATAATTTAATAATATTGTTATAAAGCAGATTGTAATACAATCTAATATTAGTATAGTGTAGTATAGATTATATTTAATTATTTGTATTATTATATATTATAACATAGTTAACCTAGATTAGTTAACTATATTATTTGACTTAACATGTAGAGGGTAAGAAATGTGTGAGAGGGCAAAATAAACTGATACAAAAACTAAAACAAAATACAAAATAAAACACAAGAAATCTAAAAAAGAATACCAAGAAAGGTGATAAGGCTAAATAAACAAAAATACTATAAAAAAACTTTCACAACATAATAGATAAAGAATAAAAACACAATAAAGGAAGCTTTCACAATGTAGTGGGTAAAGGATAAAAACAAAACAAAAATATAGTAACAATACAATAAAAAAGAGCTTTCACAACATAATGGTAAAGAATAAAAATGAAACAAAAATATAAAACAAACACAATAAGAGAAGCCTTTACAATGTAATAGATAAAGAATAAAAACAAACCAAAAATATAATAAAACCACAATTAAAAGAAGCCTTTACAACATAATGGGTGAAGAATAAAAGATATATATAATGTAGTAAGTATATAAGGGCTTTGCAGTTAAAAAGGCCGAAACTACCCCAGAAACAAAAATCGAGTTTTTACTAAATATAAATAAAATTCAGTATTTGGTACATTTTTTAATCATAAATGAAACCTGATTTACTTAATAAAAAGTCGAGATAATGCAGCGTCTAAAAAATTGAAATCTTCAAAGACAAGGTAAATCACAGGATTATCCAATATATTTAACCAATTAAAATCATGATATTTTGTTAACCCGGATCAGTCCGAACAAAACAAACCCAATTATTTCAAAATTATATATATCGGAGTTTGGGCCCTTTTAACTGCAAAGCCCTTATATAGCCAAAAATGAGTATTAGTTTATTAGATAAAGAACAGGACTTGAAGGTAAAAATCTAAGCTAAAGAAAGAGCTTTAAGATAAAAAGAACTTTTAATAAAAGCTTAGATGAAAAAACCTTTTATAAAAGTTTAGCTAGAAAAACCTAACTTGTCTTGAGGAAAAAGGCAGTGTTTATATAGCTTTTTGACATGCTAAGAATGTGTCATTGTTATCTTAGAGATATATCAAGATACTATATACCAAGGTACTATAGTAAGATACTATGATAAGATACTATATTAAGATACTATAATAAGGTACTATGATTATAATAAAGTACTATAATAAAATACTATAATAAGATACTATATAATAAGATACTATAGTAAGATACTATGATAAGGTACTATAGTAAGGTACTATGGTAAGATACTATTCTAAGGTACTATGATAAAATACTATACTAAAGTACTATACTAAAGTATTATTTATGCTAAGTAAGACTCCGAAGTTCAGGTCCGGTTCGGTCTGAATCTGGCCAAACCCGAACACAACCCCGAACTCGAATCATAAATTTTAAAATTTTCATACCTGGATTTAAACCCAAACATAAAGTATCAAACTCAAACCTGACTTAACATAATACAGGTTTGGTTTGGGCTCATTTTGAAGTTTGCAAACTTGTTTGGGTTCAGAATATATACTATATATACAGTACTGCAGTAAATCTTTAGTAAAGACGAGTAAACTCCAACAATTTTAACTCAGATGGCTTAACTGATTTAATTTATAATATTGATATTAAGCCACACATTATTAGAGCTTGCTACTATTACTAAAAAGTTTATGAATGAAGTCTTTCATCTACATATTTATTTTTACCTACCTATTTATTTTTGTCTACCTATTTTAATTTGCTTACCTATTTATTTTCACCTACTAATTTATTTTTACCACCTATTAGTTTTCACTTATCTATTTATTTTCGCTCTTCTATTTATTTTTACTCATTAATTTATTTCGCTCTTCTATTTATTTTACCCACCCATCTACTAATTTATTTTTGTTCTTATTTTTTTTCCTACCTATTTATTTTAGCTTACCTATTTATTTTCACCCATCTATTTATTTTTATTCTCTCATTTATTTTCACCCACCCATTTACCAATTTATTTTCGCTCACACATTCATTTTCACCCACCCATTTATTTTCGCCCACTCATTTATTTTTGCCCATCTATTTATTTTTACCACCTATTAATTTCTTCCACCTATTTATTTTCATCTATCTATTTATTTTCGCCTAGCTATTTATTTTTATCTACTTATTTATTTCACCCATCTATTTATTTTTGCCTATTTATTTTTGCCTACTTATTTATTTTTCCACCTATTTATTTTCTACTTTTTATTTATTTTCACTCACCTATCTATTAATTTATTTTTGCCCACTTATTTATTTTTCCTACCTATTTATTTTTC